TTTTTTAAAAATTGAGCCAGATGGTGGTGCACATCTTTTATCACAGAGGCAAGGGGATCTCTGTGAGTTGAAGACTAGCCTGGTCTACAAAGTGAGTTCCAGGACAGCCAGGGCTACTAACACAGAGGAAACCTTTTCTCAAAAGCAAAAACAAACCCAAAATGACAACAGTAAAAGAGGGCAGGAGCTTTGGCTCAGTGCAACTATTACAAAGGACCCAGGTTCCATTCTCTGCACCCACATGGAAGCTCACAGCCTCCTTGGGCACCAGGCATACGTGTGGTGCACAGATGTACATGCAGGCAAGATACTTATAAAGTATTAAAAATACTTAAAAGATGTTATGCGAACAAACAACTTGAACAGCTACCCTTTACATTTCATGTGACACATGTTGACAGAAGTCACAAAGTAAGCGTTTTGTGTAGAGTGAGCAGCTGCTGTGCTCCCTGCCCCCTGATGGAAGTTTCAGTGATACATGGGAGTGCAGATGGAATTTCAGTTGTCTGGCCCCATGGAAGTTGTCCAAAGAATCCTGGACTCCTTGAATTATTTCAAAGCAACTGTAAGGATTCACCCATGGTGAGCTTCCCACTGGCCAAGATGAAGAAGGGGTGGGGAACTGGCACTGTGGCCTCAGAGAATGCCAAAAAATGTCTAGGAGGCTGCAGATTAAGATCTGGTCCAAAAACGTCAAATCTAGTACAAAAAAAAAAAAAAAAAAAAGAAAGAAAGAAAGAAAGAAAGAAAGAAAGAAAGAAAGAAAGAAAAACAATTCTAGTGAACAGGTCTTCAGGATTAGTTCAGGATATATCCTGGACTAATGTGTTCCTTTCTCTAGCCCTCTTTCATTTTGTTTGCCCTCAACTCAGACTAGCTGTGGTGATCTAGCTAATTTTGTGGGGGTCTCTTATGAACTTGGATGGTCCTGCTCCCCTTAATCCCAGCACCTAGGAAGCAGACTCAGGCTGTCTAGAATTCAGAACAAGGTCCTTGATTAGTTCACTGTCAGTTCCTGCCCTGGGAGTACAATGTTCATGAGTGTATCAATCAGTCCAGTGTGAGGCTGATGGGATTCATGGCTCAAGCCCATGAAGACGGATCCTTTTTTTTTAGCGGGGGAGGAGTGCAGGGTCTCACTGTAGTCCTAGATGGCCTGGAACTTGCTATATAGATTAAACTAATCTTGAACTCAAAGATCTGCCTCTGTTTCCCAAATGCTAAGATTCAAGGGTTGCACCATCATGCCCACAGGGGTTGAGCAACCAAGTGCTGGTGGAGAGCTGGGCAAGAGTTGAAACCTTCTCTGTGGGCTATGGCTAATGAAGGTACCCAGGCAGGGCCTGTGAAGACAGGACTATTGAGAAATAAATGGAAGACTAATGGAGTAAGAGAGATTCTCCAGAAGGAAGGGTTTGTATATAGGGATTACATAGAACAAGACTGCAGAGCAGGGCACATAGGAAAGAAATATACAGTTAAAAACCAGACAGGCAGTGCAGGGGACCCCTCTGCCACAATGCTGCATGTGATCCTCAAAGATACAGAGCACCTCTGTGTACTGGCTGGCTTTCTGTGTCAACTTGACACAAGTTAAGACTCATCAAAGGAAGGAGCCTCAGCTGAGGAAATGCCTCCATGAGATCCAGCTATAAGGCATTTTCTCATTTAGTGATGAATGGGGAGGGTCCAGCCCATGGTGGGAGGTGCCATCCCTGGACTAGTGACCCTGCATTCTATAAGGTGGGCTGAGCAAGGCAGGGTAAAAAAGGCTGTAAGCAGCTCCCCTCCATGACTGCATCAGCTCCTGCCTCTGGGATCCTCACATTTGAGTTCCTGTCCTGACTTCCTTCAGTGATAAACAGCAATGCTGAGGTGCGAGCCTAATAAACCCTTTCCTCCCCAAATTGCCTTTTCATCATGGTGCTTCATCACAGCAATAAAAAACCTAACTAAGACACCATGGGAAGTTTAAGTGGGGACTACCCTGATCATCATGAAGAAAGATGATATACCGGTGTGGAAAGTTCTTCTGTATATGTGTTGCTTTTTTTTTTAATTATTGAAAAAATTTCCGCCTCCTCCCTGCCTCCCATTTCCTTCCCCCTCCCCCTACTCCTCTCCCCCTCCCTTATGTTGCTTTTATTGCTTAATGAATAGAGAAGCTTCTTTGGCCTGTGAGAGGGTAGAGTAGATCTAGGTGTGGGGGGCGGGTCACACAGGACCATGCTGAATGATGAGAGAGAGTAGGCGGAGTCAGGGAGAAGCCCTGTGTAGCTGCCACAGGAGACAGACACTTGTGTGGGAGCCCGCCATGCTGGGAGTAGTGATGCACAGATTAATGGAGATGGGTTAGTTTAGGATATAAGAGCTAGCTAGAAATACGCTTAAGCTATTGGCCAAACAATATTGCAAATAATATAGTTTCTGAATGATTATTTTAGGTCTGGGCAGCCTCTGCCTACAATCTACCACATCAGGGAAGCGGGTGGAACATAAAGATCTGTCAGCCTGCTGGAGAGATGGTTCAGAGGTTAAGAGCATTGCTCTTCCAAAGGTTCTGAGTTCAATTCCCAGCAACCACATGGTGGCTCACAACCATTTGTAAAGAGGTCTGGTGCCCTCTTCTGGCCTGCAGGCATACACACAGACAGACTATTGTATACATAATAAATAAAAATTTTAAAAAAAAAAGATCTGTCGGCCTAAACACAGGAGACCAGAAGGAGGAGGGATAAAGGGGAAGAGCTAGCAGGTAGGACTCAAGGGTACAGACTGGACAGGAGGCAGGAATTCTGACAACTTGCCAGGCTTTTCCCTAGGGCAGTGTGGGATGGTGGTAATGGTCATATGGTGTCCTGACCAAAAGCAACTTAAGGAGGAAAAGATTTATTTCATCATACACTTCCAGTTAACACTTCACTTAGGGAAGTCAGCAAGAGTCAATGAAGCAGAAACTGGAGCAATGCTGCTAGCTGGCTTGCTCAGCAGACACCTCTCTCTCTACACCTACTCAGGGCTGGTGCCCACCTCCACATGTGCCCTCAATTAGCAATTTAAAAAATTATGTAGTCCCCATGCATACACACACACTGAGGGAGAAAAAGGGATCAGGCATGGTGCTTCTTAATGCTTTTTTTAATCTAAGCAGCAGGAGGCAGAGGCAGATGGAATCTCTGAATTTAAGGCAGCTTTGTCACACAGCAAGTTCCAGGGTAGCCAGGAGTACATACAGAAATGATGTTTTGCCGGGCGGTGGTGGCGCACGCTTTTAATCCCAGGACTCGGGAAGCAGAGGCAAGTGGATCTCTGGGAGTTCAAAGCCAGCCTGGTCTACAAGAGCTAGTTCCAGGACAGGCACCAAAAACTACAGAGAAATCCTGTCTCGAAAAACCAAAAAAAGAAAAGAAAAAGAAATGATTTTTTTTTATTCATTTTTGGTTTTAAGAACAAATGAAAGAAAGGGAAAAAATGCCTCACAGACATGCCACAGTCTAACGTGATCACTGGCTAATGTGATCTGGGCAATTCTTCAGTTGAGATTCTCTTTCCGGGTGACCCTAAGTTTGTGTCAGATTCACAGCTGAAAACAAGATATCTGGTGACAAGGGAGGATGGAGGCATTAGCAATGTTGGGTTTGTAGAGCTGGGGGCATGGCTCACCTGGTAAAGAACTTGCCACATGGCTGGGCTGTGGCACACCTTTAATCTCAGCAAGCAGATCTCTGTGAGTTCGAGGCCAGCCTGGTCTACAGAGCAAGTGCCAAGACAGGCTCCAAAGCTACACAAAGAAACCTTGTCTCAAAAACAAAAAACAAACAAAAAGAACTTGTCATATGTATAAGGACTAGAGTAAAGATCCTGTAAAAACCTAGGTATGAAGATACACACCAGTAGCCTAGCACTGGGGAGGAAGAGACGGGAGGTTCCTGGAGTTTGCTGGCCAGCTAGATTGTCTAATAAGTTACGGGTTTAGTAAGAGACCCTGCCTCATATAAGGAAGAGAGAAGTATAGAAAGATCTCTAACATCGCATTTCACGGGTGTACGCAAGAGAAAAAAAGCAATGTGAGATTTGCAGCGTCTTTAGAAAGAGCTCACAAGTTTATTTTCAAGCCCTTTGGATCAGAGATACAGCCTAGAAGTGTACTGCCTGAAGGAGGAGAAAGAAAAGCCGAAGAGGGTTCCTAGGATGGAGCTTTCAGAGACACAGAGGAGGCACTGCAGTGTGACCAGTGCAGCAAGTGAGGACTTTACAGGGACTGTGCAGGACAGCGTGGTCAACAGAGTCAAGAGCTATGAAGATTTAGGGCCTAGGAATGTAGCTCAGTTGGTAAAATGCTTGCCTAGCTTTGGTTCAATCCCTAGTACTGCATAAACTGAGCATGGGAGCACATGCCTACATATTGAATTCAAGGCTGGCCTGGATACATGAACTCCTATCTCAAAAAGTCAAGTAATTTTTTAAAAAAGTAGCAGAGATCAAAAGAGGTAAGAATTTGCAAGGCATAGCGGCACAGGCCTTTAATCACAATACTTGGAAGGTAGAGACAGATAGAGTTCCATGCCAGCCTGGTCTACCTAGGAGCTTCCAGGACAGCCAGAGCTACAGGAGACTCTGTCTCAAAAACTAAAATGACCCCTACAGAGAAAAAAGGGTAATTTTCGGCAGCAAATGGGGTTGAGAAGCCCCTTTCAAAATGTGTGGTAGTTATAGAAACTCAGGGAGTAGAGGGAAACTTCGCATTAATGATATGAGGGAAGGGAACTGCTTAATGTCCACTTGGGCAGGGGAAATCTGGGTGTGCTCCGTCTGTGTAAGTAAAAAGTTACCTAGCCCAGAATCAGCCCATCCCAGTGTATTTTCACATCTCACTGTACCAGCCCAGTCCTGATGGAGTCAGTAAATTGAAGTTTTCCTTGGAGTAGAGGTTTAGAAATGTCATTAAAGTTGACTGTTTTACAAGCTTAGACAATTACCTTGTGACTTAGAACAGTTACCTTGATTCTGCAAGATGCGCAGCTTCTTGGGAAATGCCTGCTCCTCTGCTGAGAGTCACAACAGTCTTCTTCTGCTATAGCTCCAAGTACCCAGCAGGACTGGCACGATGGGAAGAGCACAAGCTCGGGGTAGGGCAGCAATGAGTTCATGCGAAGTCCCTTGCTGGAGCACACAGGCTCTCTATCCAGGCAGTTCTATGTTGATCACACTGTGTTCATGAATGTCTGCAGGCTCTGAAGGAAGATGACAGGGGACCAAGGTTCCAAACAGTGTCAAAACAAATTGAACATACCAGGCAGGCTATCAGGCTCTTGTCTCAGTCAATAGAATCGTGACTCACATTTGCAGAGTGAGGCTGGTGTCTGTGACCCTCCTGTTTTCATGCCAGGAGCCTCCTACAGTATAAGCATTAAGGGCTTCCTGGAGATGTAGGGAAGGTTCTCCATGTGTCATCAACACACAGGACACCATCTCAGAGCGGGAAGGAACACGCCATGGCCAGAGGTGAGCAGCCTGTGTATTCCTCCAAGTTGGGATTGTCCAAGTCCCCACGATTTGAGTGTCTAGGGTTGTCTTGCTGGTCACTAGGGGGGCCAGTTGTTCTCACACACACACAGTGGGGCTCTTTGGCTCCTGGCTTATACATCTTCCTGGGGACACCAATCCAGTCTCTGTTCACACCTCCACTAGGAAAAAGGAAAAGAGGATTTCTTAAAAGCACAAACATATAAGTCCCTGGGACAAGAGGAAGAAACAATTGCAGGCTATTATGAAAAGGAGATGCCCTTCATTCCACTTCTCTCAACCTGGACCATAAGCTCTCCTCTTCCTCTGGCTTTCCACACACAATGCTAATACTACCACCTCCAGAAGGAGCAAGAGATCATGTCCCTTTCATTGTGCTTTTGCCTCAGCCCCTTTTCTTTCTCAAGCAACAGCAATGTCACTTCCCTGAACTGGTGGCTAGTGACTGAGAAGTCTCCCTGACTAGTCAGTGAGCAGCCCTGTTCCTCTTTTCTTTACTTCCATGCTCAACAGCAACTTCATCTTTGGGCTCGGAGCACTTGACAGAGCGGACCTTGATATTTGTGTGGCAGCAAGCTGTGCTGGCTCTGCATGGATCCAACTCCTGAGATTGCCAGGTTTTAGGGAAGAAGGATCCCAGTCTGGCCCAGCATACCATGGCAACCTCCTGTCCTGGGCGAAGAACCTAACTTACTTCAGGTACTGCATTTGATCTCTGGCAGACTCAGAGGCCTTGCAGAAGGAAAGTGACGTTCATGAAACTGACCCTGGGCTCCAGTGCTTAGGACCAGGATCCCAGACTGGTGGAGGAACTGGCACTCTTAGAAAGCATTTCACTTGTATCCTATCCATGAGCAGAGCTGCTTAGGCACCAAAATGACTCCCTTCTCAGTTGACCTGTCCATTCCACCAGTGACTGTTACTCTACACCTGGTCCTGCTCACAACGCTCCTTTCAGAGATGCACATCAGCACACAACACTGGGTTGAGGCTCAGGAACAGGTCTGGAAGGACTCTGTGGAAAGGCATGGCCTGAGCGATTCAGTCCTGCATACCAGGGAGTTCATGATCTGGAAGAATCTTGGGGGAGGGGAGGCTCTCAAGGGGTACAGGAAGCATCTAATTGTGCACCACAGGTTTCTAGCACCTCCTACGATTACCAGTGTCCTCTGAGTCTACCTGTATCCAGGATTGTGTCCAAGAAGGACATCCAGATCCCAGACTGTCCTGGTAAGTGGGAGGCTAGGCTCCAACGGTACCGTAAAAGCTATTTCTCTGAACCTTCACTTTACTCCCCCAAATAAAAGCAGAATGGACGGGAACAGTGGCTATACTTGGAGAAAGCTGGTGGCTTTGACTGTTTGCTTCTGCTCACTCAATGGATGGATAGATCCCTGACAGAAGAAGGCAGCTCTAAGCTGGGTGGTTGTGGCACATGCTTTTAATCCCAGCACTGGTCTATAAGGAGAGTTCCAGCACAGCCAGGACTATTAGAAAAAGAAACCCTATTTCAAACAAACCAAAACCAAAACAAACAAACAAAAAAAGGTAGCTCTACACAGCTTAGCATGTAGGAATGCGGCCCCCTCCCCAATCCTCCTAAATAAGAGCTTGACTGTCAGTTTGATCTTTTGAGTCTAGGACCCTTGTCCAGATTCTCGTTTCCACTGTCACCTTACCAGAGCTAAAGGAGATGTGAGAAAGTAGAGCTGAAGTTTGAATGTGGTTGACCAGATAATTAAAAGAACATTTGGGATAATTTCTTTTTTTTCCTTTTTTTTTTTTTTTTTTTTTTTCCGAGACAGGGTTTCTCTGTGGTTTTGGAGCCTGTCCTGGAACTAGCTCTTGTAGACCAGGCTGGTCTCGAACTCACAGAGATCTGCCTGCCTCTGCCTCCCAAGTGCTGGGATTAAAGGCATGCACCACCACCGCCCGGCTGGAATAATTTCTATAGCCCCACTCACTGTACTGTGTTTGAGCAGGAAGAGACTTCTATCTAGCCTGCACTTACTGGAAATGCTCAGGGTACTAGTGTTTTTTTTTTTTTAATTTTATTTAATTTTATTTTTTTATATTTATTTATTTATTATGTATCCAATATTCTGTCTACGTGCATGCCTGAAGAGGGTACCAGGCCTCATTACAGATGGTTGTGAGCCACCATGTGGTTACTGGGAATTGAACTCAGGACCTTTGGAAGAGCAGGCAATGCTCTTAACCACTGAGCCATCTCTCCAGCCCCCTGTTTGTTGTTGTTGTTTTTTTTAATGGTTTGTTGCTTTCTTTCTTTCTTCCTTCCTTCCTTCGTTCCTTCCTTCCTTCCTTCTTTCCTTTTACAACATTCTGCCTCCATGAATGCCCGTACACCAGAGGAGGGCACCAGATCTCATTACAGATGATTGTTAGCCACCATGTGGTTGCTGGGAATTGAACTCAGGACCTCTGGAAGAGCAGCCAGTGCTCTTAACCACTGAGCCATCTCTCCAGCCCCCTGTTGCTTTGCTTTTAATGGAGCTCAGGATTGAACACAGGGCCATGTTCTAAGCAAGAGCTCTACCATTAAGCTATACTCTAATCACCACAGTGTTTTAACAACATCTGGAGATATAGCTCAGTTGGCAGAGTACTTGCCTAGTTCGCATAAAGCCCTGAGTTCAAACACTAGTACTGCATAAGCCAAGTATGATGGTGGTGGATGCTGTTAATTCCTGTCTCAGTAGAGACAGAAGGATCAGAAATTCAAGGTCATCCTTGAATGGAGAGTTCAAGGCCAATCTAGGATTGCCACCTGTGATTGTTTTGCAAAGAAATTAAAAATAAAACAGTACCAAGGGCATCAGAGCATGGGTCCACCCCCACACCACTCTCCTGCAGACAGGAGTCATTTGTGCTGACAGACTGGAAACTGAGGACCGTCTCTGGCTGAACAGGCAGAAGTGGTCAAGAACAGTACCTGAGCTAGAGAAAGCTCAGCTGTAAATAGCACATGTTGCTCTTCGAGAGGACTTAAATTTGGTTCGCTGCACCCACATTGGCAGCTCACAACATCCTGTAATTTGAGTTCCAAGTTCCGGGGAACACACCACCTTTGGACCCTTGGGCACTTACACTCACATGCGCATATCCACACATACATGAATTTTTGGTTTATCTTTTTATGTTATATGTATAGTGCTTTATCTGTATGCATACATGTATACTACTATGAGGACCTGACTTTGTAAACTCCACTTTAAAGAAGGGGCTTCATCTTAAGCCATATAATGAGCTGCGGGTGGCGCTCTCAGCTGCAGAAATGCGCTGCCACAGCAGAAACATGTACAGATACCCTAAAAATGGCCAGTTCAGAAGAAAGGGAGCAAGACCATAAAATTGAACGAGGTCCAGATGATCTTGGAAGACATTCTGTCCTTGAAGATTCCTTGTCAGTAATTTATGGCTCTTTGTTAGGTTTTCGCGCCAAAAAACTGACCAATGGGTTCAGAAACTACTTTATCCTATGTCCTCCTCACCCAATCGCAAGATGACAGGACTCAAACTCTCCTGGCTATGGTGTTCCCCCTTTAAGTTAGTTTTCCCCTTCCGTGGGTTCGGGGTTGCACTTCCCTCACCCATTGTGCGTTGGCATGGTGGAGGTGTGGTCTAAACTCGAGGCCAGCCTGGTCTACAAAGAGCTAGGACAGGCTCCAAAGCTATAGAGAAACCCTGTCTCAAAAAAAAAAAAAACCCTCATGTAATTTGCATTGGAAATCTGGCTCCGTGAATTTATTTGGGAACCAGAAACTTGGGCATAACACTACATGTGTTCCTGACGCCTTTGGACATCTAAAGAGGACATCAGACCCCCTGGCATTGGAGTTATGGATGGCTGCGAGTCATCGGTGGGTACCAGGTCCTCTGTAGGAGTAACAAGTGTTCTTAAGCATTAAGCCATCTCTCCAACCCCGTATATATACAATTAAAAAAAATCATGAAAATTTATGGGCCACAAAGATGGCTCAGCAGTTAAGAGTACTAGCTACTTTTGCAGAGGACCTGGGTTAGATTCTTAGCATCCACATGGCTGCTTACAACTGCCTATAACTTTAGTTCCTGGAAATTCAATGTCCTTTTCTGGCCTCCTCAGGCAACTGCATATACAGACATACACAGACATTCCCACATACACATTAAATAAACTGAATTTTAAAAAAGAAAAGAAATAGTACTTGCGTCATTCAAGTACCAGACCAGCATTTCTCCTTTAGCAGAATCTCTGGGAGACTGAGGGGTGAGGAAGAAGCCCAGGTCTCATGCATTTCTCAACACTAGGTTTTCACTCAGTTACTAAAGGTTCTACTATCAGGATTTTTCTTTAATTCCCAATCTTGTGGTTTGAATATGACATGTTTCCAACAGGTTCATATATTTGAATACTTGGTTCCTAGCAGCTAGAGCAGTTTGGGGAGGTTGTAGAACCTTTGATACTAAGACCTATCTAGAAGTTACTAGCTGGGGCAGTCCTTAAAGGTTATGTCTGCTTCTGGTTCTGCAACAAACTCAGCTTCCCCATTTACAATGATATGAGACCTGATAGCTACACATCTCAATGGCCACAGACCAAGCTGCTCTACCATGCTTTCCCTGCCACGGTGGACTGTACACTCTACAACCACAAAACTGGTTAAAAATTTCTCCCCTTATATTGCTTCTTTCAGGTATTTTTATCACAGTAAGGAAATGGATGGAACTCAGAAGACCTAACATGCAGAGCTCATCATGTAAGTTCCCTAGCTTAGCAGTCAATTCTGGATTCCCTGGATCATAGATAAATAAATAAATAATAAAAGGATGGCTTAGAAGATGGATTCAGGAGAGGTGGAAGAGCAGAAAGGTAGCCTGCTTACCTCTTCTGGGAGCACCAGACCCGGCTACCCTTGGCGGAGCTCCACTCGGCATTGCATGGAGGGAACGTGTGCTTTTCTCTCTGTCGCCATTCATTTGCTTCCACGCCTTTAGTTACCATGGCCTCCACCTGTGTTAGTTCTGCAGTGGGAAACCCATCCTCTCTGTAGAACCTTCCTACCAATCTCCCTAGGATAGCAAGGAAAAAGGGCAAGAGAGGATAAGTCAAATAAACCCTTTTCTCCCCAAGTTCCTTGTGGGCATGGTGTTTTATCACATCAACAGGAACCCTAAAACAGAAACTGACACCAAAATCATGGGATATTGCTATGACAGACCTGGCCAGTTGTTTTTGGGAGGATTGTAGAAGGACTTTGGAACTCTGGGCTAAAAAAGCCATTGAGCGTTCAAAGCTTGTTCTATGGGAGCTTGGAAGATAAAGAGTGTTGAGAGAAACAAAGATAATGGAGACTCGCTTGTGAAGTTCCAGAGTCACTTAAAGACACTATCAAGGGGGCTGGAGAGATGGCTCAGTGGTCTTCCAGAGGTCCTGAGTTCAGGTAGCTAACAACCATCTGTAATGAGATCTGGTGTTTTTGTTCTGGCCTGCAGAAAAAACACTGTATATATAACAAACAAATAAATAAATAGGAAAGACTATCAAGGCCATTTACTATTTTGAGTTTAGAATCTATGGTTCTGGTTAGCTAGAGCTAAAGAGTCAGCTAGCTGCCAATATGGAAATGATCAAGTTTTTATCACCACCAGATCACATCAGTTCCCTGAGAACAGAATCGTGAGGATGTTTGGGGGAACACTACGTATTTAGTGAATGCTGGGTGAACATACAGTTTATTAGTTCACATTTTTCTGGGTCTATGTCAAATTACTTTGTCTTACAGAACTATTCAGTTAGTTAGACCACCCAGACTGGCCCATGCTTTCTCCTCCACCACTGAGTCAGTCTTTAGTGGATATTAATTTTTAAATTAGCTTTCAAAATTTCTTAATATTTAAGCTATGAAAGCAACTACCAAGTGGTTGCAGCTTACAGACAAAAAAAAAGGTTCAGTTCTCTGTGAGTACCATGGCTTGCTGTGTCCAAGTCCTGAGGTGCAAAAGGTCTCTTAAAAGGCACCACTTTCAGTCACAAATTTATGATGCTCTTTTTACTTTTTAATTATATATATATTTTATTGAGAAAAGGAAAAAAAAAGTTTCCGCCTCCTCCCAGCCTCCCATTTCCCTCCCCCTTACTTTTTAATTTTTATGTGTGTGAGTGTTTTGACTGAACCTCTATCTGTGCACCACATGCATTCAGAGCCCGATGGGGATCAGAAGAGGGTGTTAGATCCCATGGAACCAGAGTTACAGATGACTGTGAGCTACCGTGTGGTATTGGGAACTGAATCTGGTACTCTAAAAGAGGAGCCAGTGTTCTTAACCCCTGAGCCATCTATCTCTCTAGCTCCTTAAGTATTCTTTTTCAACATAAACCATTCATCACTGCTATGCCCGACTAAAACCTTCTAGTAGCTACTCAAAGCACAGAAGAACATACAAACTTCTTAGCCTCCAGGTTCCACCAGCCTTTTGTCCACTCTGCCTCTTCCTAGGTCACTTGCTCCCTCATTCCTGTGGGCTCCAGCACGTACTCCAGGCCTTGCTGATACTCACCCCAGGCACCACTGCTTCCTCAGCCTGCTACACTCTTCCCAAATCTCAGTATGCCTACCCTTCCTTCTGCTAGGTTCCATTTTGCTGTCTTCAACTCCAAGAAATCTCCCTTGGCTTGACCAGCTCCAAAGGTAATGCATCCAGCCCCCAAGCATGCATCCATGTTTTATTCACAGTCCTGAATTGAGATGTCAAAGTGTCTTGTGAGGCCCAGTGCTCAAAACAACTTCTACAGAGCATCTGTTTTAAATGTGTGCTACATGACTAGATCAAGAATCAGGACCTTAGTGCCAGATTAGAAGTCTTTAGACTGGCTTACCACAAAACTTTTTGGGTACACAGGGCTTTGTATGGCATGGGATGAGTCAATCTTGCTGAGCATTAGACATGGTATCTTAAGAGAGAATAGCAGGACAGAGGCAGCGTTTTAGATGCTGTATTGTGAGAACAGGTTTAGCAGCTGGGTCTCTAAGTGTGTGTCTAGATCATAATAAAAGTTGCATCTTTCCTTGAGGTCCAGCAGTGCAACTACGACGTGAAGATGATTGGTATAATAAAAATCTGAATGGCCAATAGCTAGGCAGGAGGTATAGGTGGGACTTCCAGGCAGAGAGACAGTGGGGGAGGAGAAATCTCGAGAAATCATGAGCTCACCAGAAGACCTGGAGAAAGTTGGAAGTGCTATACTAAGAGGTAACTAAGTCATGTAGCAAAATGTAAATAAAAAAATATGGGTTAAGTTATAAGAGCTAGTTGGGGAAAAGCCTAAGCTAAGGCCAAGCTTTTATAACTAATAAAAAGTTTCTGAGTCGAGCCGGGCGGTGGTGGCACATGCCGCAGGGCGGTGATGCATGCCTTTAATCCCAGCACTTGGGAGGCAGAGGCAGGCGGATCTCTGTGAGTTCGAGGCCAGCTTGGTCTACAAGAGCTAGTTCCAGGTCAGGCTCCAAAGCGACAGAGAAACCCTGTTTTGAAAAACAAAAAAAAAAAAAAAGTTTCTGAGTCACTATTTGTGGGCTGGCGGTCCAAAGACAGTCCGACAAGAAAGCCTGCTACATTTGGGACACTTAATCCAGGATCAGGACTTCAATGCCAACATCAGCTATGCAACAAGTTTGAGGCCAGCCTGGGTTCTATGAGACCTTGTTCCAAAAACCAAGAAAAATAAAAACATAAAACAAAACCTCACCATAAAATATCAGCTAGACCTCAAGAATAACTCTGACCCATTTGAACATAAGTGAAGCTGAATATGATTCTTTCTTTCTTTCTTGATTTGTTTACTTTTATTTTATATGCAGTGGTGTTTTGCCTGCAGGTACCTCTGCGTGAGAATGTATTTTGGAGTTAGTGTTGAGCTGCATGTGGACGCTGGGAAAGTCCAGTTCTTTCTTTTTTGATTTATTTACTTTTAAATCATTTCTGATAAAGGCTGAAAGTAGAAACAAAGTCCAACCCTAGCTGGTCACAAGCAGCCAAACAACTTAGGACTCTATGACCAGGGACTTTCCGACAGGCTAACAGAATTAAAAAAGCATGGTCTAAAGATGAAGCTTGGTCTGTAGGGCTGCTTGCCTCGCATGCAGGGCTTCATTAGGGCAGCAACCTTTCAGCTGTCACTTGGCAACATCATGGAGAATAGGAAGAAACAGATGCAGCGAGTACAGAGGAACCATCTAGGACAGACTAAGGGAACACGGGAAGGTGTGTGAACTTGGGATGAGGAAGAGCAACAGCGGATGGCGATGAGGAACAAAGGAGAGTGGAATGGAAAGACCTTATAAAATCAGAGCTTGAGCAACTGGATGTCGAGTAGAGGAGTCAAGGAAAATACCAGGATTCTCAGAATAAGAAGCCCAAGCAGTAATGAAAGCAAGCCTTTAAAGGCATTAGGGGCAGTAAATTCCAACCTAGACCTGTTCCAGTGGTAAAAGGACAGTGGTATCTGCAAGAAGTCAATCATGCCCACGTGGAGCTCCATGAGAGGTGGGGCTACACAGACCAAAGGATTGGCCTCAGCCATCCCAGCTTTTGGTGCTTAAGAAAGACTGTAGTGATCAGTGATCGGTTGTCTGCTCATTTAGAGTTGTGTTCCCTCATGTACCAGCAGTAAGCAACAAGTGCAGGACAACACACAACTGGCATTAATTCATGACATGGAGGTAGTAGGATCAGGGACTCAATGCGAGCCTGATCTATATAGGGAGTTTGAGCTAGGCCACACAAAACACTGAATGAATGAATGAATGAATGAATGAATGAGTGATAAATAAATGTATGATGAGCAGAACTTCTATCTCAGAAACAGTTTGCTCAGGATGTGTGCTTTATCAGCGAGCAATCAAGGGGAAGCATCAGAACCACACACAAGTGGCTTCAAGTCATCCTGACTGTACTGGAGCCACAGGGAGGCTGCCTGTTCACATCCAAACACAAGACGATATTGACTGAGGGCCACTGATGTCTCAGTACAAGGCCTGGCAATCCTCTCCCGAGATTAACCACAACTTCATCTTCTTCTGGGTATTACTCCTGCACTAGCAGCAAGAATTTAACATGAAAAACCCAGGCTGGTCTCAAATTTTTACCTTGAACCCAGTTCCTAAAGAACCCAGGTTCTCTGAGAAACACAGCAACATAAGCAGCTGAAATCTATAGCAATGGTCAAGGACTACATACCGACAAATACATAATTTTTCTCGTAGAATGAAAGCCAATTGTGAAGTATCAGTATCTCAGAGGAGGACAAGCCAGTGACATCATCCACTAGGCCAGCTTCAGAATAGTCTCCTGTCACAAAGGCTCTGGATGCATCCCGGCCTTTAGGAAAGAAGTTGCCAAAGATTCAGTTAAAAATCACAATTATTTTACCAAGTAAAACTTCCATTTTTTTGTTTTGTTTTTCAAGACAGGGTTTCTTTGTATAACCCTGGCTGTCCAGGAACTCACTCTATAGACAAGGTTGGCTTTGCACTCAGAGATCCGACTGACTCCACCTCTCAAGTGCTGGGATTAAAGGTATGCCACCACCATCCTGCAAAACTTCCATTTTCTTAAAAAGCATGTACTAACAACCCCTAGTCTTCACTCCCAGGGACTCCTGGACCAGGGACATGAATTTTTGGCAACTGTTATCCACTTGTTTTGCTTGTTTTTTTTTTTTTTTAAAATTTTACTTATTTATTTATTATGTATACAATATTCTGTCTGAGTGTATACCTGCAGGCTAGAAGAGGGCACCAGACCTCATTACAGATGGTTGTGAGCCACCATGTGGTTGCTGGGAATTGAACTCAGGACCTTTGGAAGAGCAGGCAATGCCCTTAACCTCTGAGCCATCTCTCTAGCCCTGTTTGTTTGTTTTTGAGACAGGGTCTTATTATGTAATTTGGTTTGGTCTAGAGCTTGATATGGAGACCAGGCTGGCCTGATCTCACAGAGCTCTGCCTGCCTTCCAAGTTCTGGGAATAAAAGTGTACACCACTACATCTGGCCCATCTCAAAATGATGACTTCTGGCTTCCATGATACTCCACACCTGGTTTTCCCGGCACTTCACTGTCTGTTTAGCTATAGGGATCAATTATTATCTGCACCTTCTCACATGACCATTTTATCTTATCTACCTGTGTGGTTTCAGATCTCCATCTAAACTATACATTTAGCCCAGGCGTTTCCTAAGCACTAAACATGCATATCCAACTTCTACTCAATGTCACTTAGCTGTCTCACAGCCATCACAAGTTCCAAAAGCCTATCTCGAGATATTGGTCATCAGCTCCAGGAAATGGTCATTTAATCTTATCTAGTGTTCCTTATCAACCAGTTGCCCCATCTATAAATGCAGGCTTGATATCTCTTTTATCCCTCACATCTAATTATTGCCAGAGCTTATTCTTAATAAATAGTTGCTGTATTCATACACTGTTGCTACCTGCTACCAAACAATCCCAGTCTACTACCGTCTCTCAGGCGAACTACCACCGAGGTCCTAGTGGGACCACATTTCATCCTTCCAAACTATTCTCCAGGTAACATTCAGACTAGTATTTATTATTATAAACTTTGTGTGTGTGCCACATGTGTATGCATATCTATGTGTCTGTGCGTAAATGTGTAAGGGGGCCTGAAGAGGGCACTGGTCTCTTGAAGTTGAAGCAGCAGGCAGTTGTGAGTCATCCAACATTGGTGTTAAGATCTGAATTCAGGTGCTCTGGAAAAACAGCAAGCACTCTTAATCGATGAGTCTATCTCTAGCAACAGACTGTTTTAGTGATTTTGTTTTTTGAGACAGGTCTTACTATGTAGCTCTAGCTGCTCTGTACTTGCTACAAAGATCAGGCTGGCCTAGAACTCAGACACTGGCCTATCTGTCTCAGTACTGAGATGTGTGTCATTATGCCCAGCTCCCTAGACTGATATTTTGTTTTTTGGTTTTTCAAGACAGGGTTTCTCTGTGTAGCCCTGGTTGTCCTGGAACTTGCTCTGTAGACCAGAGTGGCTTTGAACTCAGAGATCTGCTTGTCTCTGCCACCCAAGTGCCAGGATTAAAGGCATATGCCACCTCATCTGGCTCTAAACAAAGAATACTTGTCGCTGGACAGTGGAGACACATGCCTGTAATCCCAGTACTCAGGAGGTAGATGGGGGAAAATCTCTGTGAGTTTGAGGCCAGCCTAGTCTACAGAGCAAGTTCCCGGACAGCCAGGGCTACACAGAGAAACCCTGTCTTGAAAAACAAAAGAAAATAACAACAAAAAGAAAAAGAAAGAAAAATCACCAAGTCATTTTCTGCCAAAATCCTCAGTGCCTCCCTTGGCCTTATGAGAATATCCAAAATCCTTAACTCAGTAGCATTTGCCACTAACCTCATCTAGTTACTTTGTCCATCGCTCATTGCACTGTCTTCCTCTCTTTCCTGCTCTCTGACTAGGTTAGAGGCTCTGGTAAAATTTACTTTTTCCTTTAAACACAAATTACAAATCAGGGCTTTAGTAAGAGATGGTTCAGCCAATAAAAGTCCTTGCTTTGGAAATGTGCGGACCTGAGTTTGGATTCCTGGCGCCCAGGCAGAAATCAGGTCACAGCAGTGCATGCTTGTCATCTCGGCACTGGAGGCCGGAGGAGGCGACAGCACTGGAGGCCGGAGGAGGCGACAGCACTTTAACCCCTAGGATGGCTACAATAAAGACATAGGAGTCAGGACTGCTGTGCATTCAGTCACAGCGTGGGCTACATAATGAGACTTCATCTAAAAATGGAGTAGGGGAGAAACTGGGCACATGTTTTAGCAATAGAATTCTTGTTTAGCATGTATGGCACCTAATATTAGAAAACAAAACGAAGCTTTTAACAAGTTTTGGCATGGATGTGTGGGGAAGCTGAAACTCAAATGCATTCCTTGTGGGACTATACAGTGGTGCAGAGACATTAAAGGGAATTTGGCAGTTTCCCTAAAGTTAGCAATCACCATGTGAGACAGCAAATCCACAGCTAGATACATACTAAGGAAACTGACAACATATTCGCCAACGTTAATACGGGAGATCTCTATAAAGGTGAAAACGGGGCCAGCAAGATGGCCAAGTGGATACAAATGCTGGTTGTCCAAGTCTGACAACTGGAGTCTAACCACTGGAACAGAGGTATAAAAGCCAAATGCAGTGGTGTGCATCTGTAATCCCTACACTCCCACAGCAAGGGCAGAGATAGAGGCGGGCCAGTCGGTCTCAAATACACAGCTAGGGAGAAACAAGAACAAGGCGGTAACTGAGTCCAGATTTTCTCCTGAACTTCGTATGTCCAAGCTGTGGCGCACACACACACTGTAAGCATACACACTGACCAAATAAAATTCTTAAAGTGGAAATAACTCAAATCTATCAAATGCAGTATTTAAACATGCAATTGTTATTTGGTCATAAAAAAGAATGAGCGAGCACTCAGTGTGGTGGCAAAAGCCTTTAATCTTTGCGAGTTCCAGACCAACCAGGGCAATGTAGTAAGACCCAATCCTAAAAAAAAATAAAATAAAATAAAAAATAAAAAATGGATTGGCCATATGATGATAAACTACAGATGAACCTTAAAATCTCTAAGCCAAGTAAAAGCCAGACTAAAAAAGAACATGTGTCAGGTGTGGGATTCTACTTACAGAAGGGCAAATCAGTAGGAGCAGAATGTATGCAGGAAGTGCCAGGGGCTGTGGGGAGGTAGAGAAGGGAGAAGGGTTGCTGATGGGCAGTTTCCTTTGAGGAAGAGCAAAATGTTCTGAAATTAGATGGTGATGTTATACTTGTACACTTTAAAATAAGTTTCTATGATAATTATACCTCAAAAAAAAATACTGACTGCATAAGTGAACACGTCTGCTTTCCTAATAGACTGTGTGACAGTCAGAGACATCTTGGATTCTTCAGCACCTGGCCAAGGTAGGACCCATGGTAGCAGTCAACAAATGGAAGTCAAATACTGCATACACAGGGCTCAACAGATACTAGTACATACTGGATATGGATCACCCCAGAGGTGGAAGTGTTATGCCAACACTTGCGCATACATCCGCGACAGCGGTGTCCGATGGAGGTAGGCTAGAGTCCGATCGTGCACTCAAATGGCAAGATTCCAGACCAGCTTTGCTTCTACCTCTCTCTGACCCTGGGTAGGTCCCTTGCTCTTCTGGGCTGTCTGACATCTAGAGAAGGCACTGAGTGATCTGTAATGAAATGCAGCTTCCTAATTCTCCTAAACGATCAGTGGCCAGCTTGAAATTTCTATCAGCCCAGTCACCAGCCTTAGACTTGCCCTGCATTTTACTTCCCCAAACAAAGTGAGAGGCAGTTTCTTTGGCTAGAAAAGCAACATCTTTAAAATTACTAGGCGCTGGAGAGCTGGCTCGGCGGTGAAGGGCAGCTGCTGCTCCCCCAGATGGCCCAGGCTCCCGGCACCCTTAATGCACATCACAACCATCCACACCTCCAGGTCCAGGGGATTCGAAAGCCTCTTCTGGCCTCCCTGGGCACCGGGCACACAGGTGGCTCAGTGATGTACAAGCAGGTAAAACACACACACATACACACAATTTTAAGGCAAATTTAAACATTAGGCTGGAAGTTCTACCCATATCTTCTAAGGACTTTAGTCAAATGACATTTTTCAGTCCCTTCAGTTGTTAAAAGGAGGGAAGGAGGGATGACAACAGAATGAAATTAATTTGATAAATGTTCTTAGGACTAACATATGCAATTTTATTCTAAGTTTTGTTTCGTCTTGTTTTTGAGCCAGCCTGGCCACAAATACCTGGCTCAGCGAATCTTCCTAGCTCAGGGAGTCTTCCTGTCTCAGCCACTCCAATAGCCAGGACCACAAAATACCACCACTTCTGGCTTACTGTAGGTATTAAAAAGACTGTAAGGGTTACTTGCTTTCCTGTGCTCTAACTTCACCCCCCACCCCCTTCATTATCTTTTAAGAAAAGCAGACAAGTGCATCGACTAGAACCAAAAACGACTCAAATACTGTTTGTCATTCATTTTAGGGGAGACGGGGTGGGCGAAACAAAGGTTATTATTTCGGATCACTCTAAAGTGACTGAAAGCACGGGAGCTCTACAGCCCAGGTAGACTTCTGAATGTACCCAGTAACTAACGAGAGACATCTTTCTCTAAATCAGTCACACAAAGCGTGCGGGTATGTAACTAGCCGAGCCGCAAACCAGTACCGTGCAGCCGTGTCCTTGCCGCCGCAGCCGTCTGAGGAATGTGGAGTGCCCGGGCGCGGATGAATAAACTAATGGATAAATGCAGGGCGTTTGCTCAGGAGGAAGAGGTGGGAGAGCCTCGCTGATACCTGCGAAGCCGCTATAGTGCGCCCCAGGTTCGTAGTGCCTCCGGCCTGAGGACACGTCGTAGACGCGGCCGAGCAACGCCAAGTACAGACCCGGGTCCCCTGGGCCGCCGCGATAGCGGGCTAGCTCCTCGGGTACGAAGAGGCGAAGGCCAGAGGGGGGAACCCTCTGGACCCCACCAGTCCATCAACCACACGGCCATGACCGCCGCCGCCGCCGCGACCAGGCTCAGCACCACGCCAAACCCACATAGCCTGAGCATCTACCCGGCAGCACACAAGCAGTCACTTCCGAAGTGGCCACCTCTTTAACCACAACTAAGATGGCGGAGACGCCGACCGTGACGTCACAGCGCGACGCTCGATAAGCTTCAGAGTAAAGATCACTCTTCGACTCCGACCCTTTCTCGTCCTTTTCCAGCATAGTTTGAGAAGCTGAACCGTGGAGGAGAAAGTGGAACTACACTGAAAGACTATCTTGGCGTACAAGTTATCCGCCCTCAACAAAAATGGCGGCAAAGGAGGCTAGACGTTGACTAATCCATAGCAGGCGTGCTCTTAGGCCTCACCTAGCTGTCGTGAGATGGTAGAATCCGCTTGACGTCTCCGTTGCGACATCAGGCCTCGCTCGACGGCCAGGAAGCCGGAAGTCGCTGCCGCCGCCGTCGTCCCCACCCCGTCCCCGCCCGCCTGGAGCTGTCGGAGGTTGACAGGTCGTGGCTGGGAGGCGGCGGCGGCGGCACCTCCGAGCACCCAAGACGGAGGCCCCATGGGGAACGCTCCGAGTAACAGCAGCGAAGACGAAGCGGCGGCCGCCGGGGCTGAGGGCTGGAGCCCACATCAGGACTGGGCTGCCGACTCCGGCACGACCCCCGGTCCCGGCCCTGCGGCCGCGGCGCTGCCGCCTGCTGCTGCTCTGCTGGAGCCCGCCCGGCTGCGAGAGGCTGCGGCTGCGTTGCGGCCCGCACCTCCCTGCGAATCCCTGGTGTCGAGGCACCACGGCGCGCTATTGCGCTGGCTGGAAGAGCGGCTGGGCCGCGGTGAAGAATCTGTCACCCTGGAGCAGTTCCGGGAGTTGCTGGAGGCTCGCGGCGCTGGCTGTTCCGGCGAGCAGTTTGAGGAGGTCAGGGTGGGCTGGCGAATGCTGGCTTGGGGGCTGGGTGGTCGCCGATAAGGTCGTGAAGAGGTGGGCGGTTGCTTTGCGGAGGCCAGCCAGGAAGTCACTGGGTCCTCAGGTTCTTAGAATGGAAGCATGGGGTTACCCGAACCCGTTCGGAGTGCATCACTCTGGACTTTTGCTACGTCTCTCACCTTTACTAGAGGTGTGGAAAGTCCAGGCTACGTTGGCTTTGCTCCAAAAAGAGGAACGAGCAGAAATGTCTCTGCATGTGGTAGGCCGACGTTTGTGCCGTTGACAGACAGACAGGCTTAGTTGCTTGCTGGAGGTTATCAGGTTATAAGACAATTATGAGAAAGGATGTGCAAAGATCAAGGGAGTGGCCGTAAAAACCATTTCGTTGTACTGGTCTGTACAGATCTTTCGGAGAACGATCTGAGTCAATGTGGAAGGAGGGTAACGATACACTGAAAAGACTCCACGAGCCATCCTCGTCTATAAAGTGCTCCTTTCTTCAAAGTACACACTTGATTTTAGATCGTTGAAGAACTTCTTCCAGACTCATTTAAACCCTTGTGAGACTTAAAGTTGACAGGGAAGCATGTTTCTTGTACTTGTGCAGTTTCTCCCCATATCTGTACTGAACACTTCGGTTTAGGATTTGGAAAAAACTGACCCAGACTTACCCTGTAAATCATTTCATTGGCAAAGTTGAGAACATCATACAAACCTCTTTTTTTCCCCTTATGTCCCTATTACCCTGTTCCCTGAAGCCTTATTAAGTCCACAATGTTAGGACAAAAAGGTGTTTAAGTGAGTAAACCATGTAAAATTGTCAGTCATTGAATGGTTAGTTCGTAGAGCAAGAAACCAACCATCACTTGTAGCATCTTTATAAAATTCTGTTTTCCCTAAAACAGAGACTTTTGAAATATTTCAAGGATGTTGCCTACAAATGATGAAAATATTTACATAATATATTTTGTAAGTTTTCCTCTAAAAACTGTCTTTAATGCGTTCTAGCTCTCAAAATATGGTGGCACAAACCTGTAATACCAGAATTTGAAAGGTAGTGGCAGGAGGATCAAATCAAGGTCATCTTTGGCTACAAAGTCAGTTTGGGTACAGCCTGGGCTACATAGAGTAGCACTGTTTCAAAAGTGTAGAACATGTATGCATTCATATTACATACACACATACAGTCAGTTAATGAAAGGTCTCCATTAAAATAAAATTCCCAAGCTGTTCATGGTAAGCACACATACATGATTCTAGCACTCGAGAGGCTGAGGTAGGCAAGTAAAAAAAAATCCTAGAATATTCATAATATTTTCACTCTAGTACACATCTTTTATGAGAATATGAAGCCTTGGTAGAAAGATCTATGTAGATTTGATCAAGAATTTTTTAAGGTTTTTTTTTTTAAGGCAAATGAAGAGAAACAGCTTTTATACTGTGAGAATGTCTGATTGAGCAGAACTGTCCATGAGGTTTATAGAGATCATGTAATAGAAGGCCAGGAAACCACAGAGCTACCCTAGAAGAATCCCTCAAGGGTTGTAATCAGCATTATTCTTTTTTTCAGGGCCTAACTGAACACCTGCCCTCTAGCTGATGGTTTTAGTATAGTAGAACAGTTAGATACTAATTTACCATTAAAGGTGTGGACACTGTCCACCAAGAGAAAGCATAAAGAATAAATAGGAAGTGTATTTAACTCATCTCACATCCCAAGTTGGAGGGTCCTAACAAAGGTCACATTTCAGGGGAGATTTGAAAGTGCAAGAAGTCAAGGAGCAGGAAGAGGGAGCAGTGCTTGCAGGCCAAGAAGTAATTACACCTTGGGATGTCTACTAAATGGAGAATCTAGTAGTACTGTGTGATCTGTTAGGCTAGAAAAAGCTGCTACTCTCCCAGAGCACTGAAACATTTGCTGCCTTGTAACCAGCTCCAGGGGACCCAACACCCACTTCTGGCCTCCAAGGTTACCTCCACACAGGTACGCGTGTGCGTACACACACACACACACACACACACACACACAAATAAATAACAAATCTTTTTTAAAAACCCAGAGACACCTAATGTATCAGTTTAAATTATTATTTTATGTGTATGAGTGTTTTGACTGCATGTATGTCAATACCCCAGTGCCTGGTGACAGCAGAGGCCAGAAGAGGTTATCAAAATCTCCTGGAACTGGAGTTATGGGGGTTTGTGAGCTGTCTTGTGGGTGCTAGGAATCGAACCTGATTCCTCTGAAAGAGTACTCAGTGCTCTTAACTGTGGAGCCATCCTTCCAGCTCTCTGTATTGGTAGTTTAAACAAAAATGTTTTGCTTTGATTTTGAGTAGGGTCTCATTATAGCCACTACTGGCCTAGAACTCACTGTGTAAGCCAAAGTTGCTTTGAACTCATTTTAATCCTCCTTCTTCAATTTCTTGAATTCTGAGACTACTGGTGTGCAATACTGCACCCACCCAGAAAAATTTTTTTTTCATGACAGGGTTTCTCTGTGTTGCTTTAGAGCCTGTCCTGGAACTAGGAAACTGCTTTCTTATGTAAAAGTTCAGGTAGGCAATCAAGGCTGATGTGGTATTTCAAAATTACTAGGGACCTGGCTGTGTCCTTCTTGTACTGCACACCCCGTAAGCACCTTTCGTTTAGTGACTTCGTTTATTTCTTCCCTTACTTTCCCAACAAGAAGGAAGGTGAGAAGGGAAGGGCATGACCTTGCTGTTCTCTTAGGTATTTCCCACAGGCTCAAAATTAGTGCAGTGGCCACACTTGTAAGAAAAGCTAGGAAAGATCATTTCATGGCCCTATATTTTGCTAAATTTGAGGTTTTGTTTCTGAGGAAAGAACAAAGGGGATGCTAATTTTGGCTAGATCATAGATGCAGAAGAATGGATGAGGATGATGGAGAGGGACCAAGAATTTGAGTCCTCAGCATCCTAGCAAGGAGTTTGGACACTGGAGTTTTGTTATTGTTTGTTTGTAGTCCTGGCTGTCTTGAACGCATAGAGATCTGACTGCTTCTGCCTCCCAAGTGCTGGGATCAAAGGCATGTACCACCATGTAGGGCTGGTTATGTCTTCTTATTAAAGTCATAATTGAGGTGGTGGTGGTGCACACCTTTAATCCCAGCACTTGGGAGGCAGAGGCAAGTGGATCTCTATGAGTTCGAGGCCAGCCTGGACTACAGAGTGAATTCCAGGACAGGCTCCAAAGCTACACANAGAGAGAGAGAGAGAGAGAGAGAGAGAGAGAGAGAGAGAGAGAGAGAGAGAGAGAGAGAGAGAGAGTCATAATCCTGTTACATAGGTGACAGAAATTAACTTTAAGGAATCCTCAGCCCAACACCAAGAACTGATAATTTATAAAATATTGGATATTGCTATTTTATGTGTGTAAAAATCCTTGTGATAATCTAGAGCTGTGTCACAGGCTCCTAAGATTACACACACCAAAGTCACAAAGGGTATGCTTGAAAGTCACATTTTCCCTTCCTACCATATCTCACCTCCTCATTTGTAGCACGTTCAGATACACGGTGTCTGATGACTGACACCAGTCAACTCTGTGAGGCAGATGGATGACAACAGCCCCCAAACTGAGTAGGAAAGTGATGACCAAACTGAGAACTCGGCAAGGTCCTCTTTGACCCAGTGTACAGCTTCAGGTGGGCACACAGGGGCCCAGTCAGTTCAGTTCAGTGGGATTACAGATGTTACAGCCAAGTCACCCTCCAAGAGCGTATCTCAAAAAAGGTGATGTTAGAATTAGTCTCAGCACTAACTCTCAAGTGTGGGTCTTCTCACCCCAGAACTATTGTCCTTTCCTTTGTAAGGATCTTGTTCTCTGTTACTAATCTCTCAACCTCAAGGATAAGTAAATAAATTCCTTAAGTTTCCCTTCATTCTATAGAAAGCCGGGCTGTTAAAATCTCAGGAGCACAAAACAAGCAAACACCCCATGAAGTCTTTTTCTTGAAGCCTATATACCATTTTCAGATTTGAGAGGGAGGAGTTTTGATTTGGGTTGATAACCAAAATCTGGTACCTTGTCTTCTGCCCCACTGGTTAACTGTAGAAAGCATTTGTATCTCATAGTGAACTAACAGAGCCAAAGTTTAAAAACTGTATGGTGGCAATCTCATGGTGGGTATCCTTTTATCCTGTCTATAAGTAAGGCATAATTATATTAGAGAAAGTTAATATTAGCCATGTGGTTGATTCTGTGCTTTTAAAACAATCTTGGCTTTAGACCTGAGGAAGTATATTTGTGTGTAGACTTAGGCATTTAATTCTGTATTTTACACCAAAGTTTTGAAAGATGTATTGTGACATTTAATATGTTTCAAGGTTTTATGAAATAATAATAATAATGAATATATTTGTAGTAGCAATTAAGATTACAAGTTATTTTCCTTCATTTCTTTTTACCAGCACAGGTTACCATGGGTGCACAGTTCATCCTTATACTGTAGAAATCTCCAAGTACAGCTCATTTGTTCCTTGGACTTTAACTAGTTTTGCTGCACATGCCTACCACTTGTCTTTCTTCATTGCAGTGACCTTAGTGCTTGAGCTGGTGTCATAAAAATGGTCTTAGAGTTGGACCATGGACCAAAGTCTTCGTGATGATTATCATTTTATAATACAACACACCTTTTCTCTTACTGGGTGTGGTCCAGGCAAAGGACTCTTGGATTTGTTTGAAAAAAAGCAGTATCTAATTATCTAATAGTCACCTTTGTAGAAGGAAGAGAGAAAGGATAAGGGGGAGGGAGACGGAGGAATAAAATTCTTATTTGACATCAGAGGTTAGCTATTTCTGCTCTTAACATAAGCACTCTTTTAGCAAGTAACATAGACTTTAGGGCAGGACAAAGTGCTCAGTACAGGCTGGTGATACAGAAGACGTGTTTGTTTGTTTGGTTTTAAAAACAGGATCTCACTATGTAGCTCTGGCTGATCCAGAACTCGATATATAGACCAGGCTGG